TACCACTTGATGATTTTATGTACCACTTGATGATTTTATGTACCACTTGATGATTTTATGTACCACTTGATGATTTTATGTACCACTTGATGATTTTAGGGGGGGTGTAGATATATCAATGGGAGGGGGTGCTGTATCATTACATAAATGTGCATGATATTGATCTAAAAGAAAAACAATTGTATGAAATATCAATTTGTCCTGATAAATGTTTCCGCATTCGAATAATAAACAATATGTGATCAGTCAGCTTATTAGGCTCTCTTACATCATTAATAGATAACAATTGCTGACTAGATCTTAACTGTATATCTTTTAGTAAACTGTATAAAGTTACTTGTGCACAAAGAGATGTGGGAGGGGGGGGGAGTTACAGAGGGACCCAAAATACTGTGGAATAGGAAGACGACTGTGAGACTCGATTTCTGTTGTTAATTAGTTCAATGTTACGTGAAATACAGCAACTGTTCAGTGAACACGTGACCTTGTCAGCTTTCTAGCTACTGATAAAAATTATTTTCTATATAACAACATCAAATACAAATAAGTTTAATTTAACGTCGTCTTCCAAAGTTGTATGGAGTTCACTGTAAAAAAAATAAAATTATTAAAAATATTTGATTTGAGGTCAACTTTGGGCTTCCAGCAGAGAACGAGAAGAAGAGAGAGAAATTTCTAACTGCCAAATACGGAGCACATCAAATGGCACTTATCAGGTAAATGGCACTTATCAGGTAAATGACACTTATCAGGTAAATGGCACTTACCAGGTAAATTGCACTTATCAGGTAAATGGCACTTATCAGGTAAATGGCACTTATCACGTAAATGGCACTTATCAGGTAAATGGCACTTATCAGGTAAATGGCACTTATCAGGCAAATGGCACTTATCAGGTAAATGGCACTTTTCAGGTAAATGACACTTATCAGGTAAATGGCACTTATCAGGCAAATGGCACTTATCAGGTAGATATTTTACTAAACTCTCGCTTCAAAATACAGTGAAACCCCTAATAACGAATACATGGAAAGAATTTATCAAATGTCGTATTCTTCACTTTCTGATAATGGAATGTTGCAGATATTTAGTTTTTTAATTAAATGATTATATGGAACTCTTTAAAACTGTTCCCGCATATTCATGGCTATTTATTTATTTTCGCAAATACTGAATTTTACGAGATAAAGTATAAAACTCATTGAAAAATTGTCAAGACGGCATTTGATAAATTCTTCCGATGTATTTGTTATTAAGTGGTTCACTGTATAATTTTCTAATCTTTGTCAGCTGATGGTGTAAGCCTTTGATATTTCAATCTTTGACTATATTTGATGTAACAGAATTCATGGTTTAAAATATAAAAGGTCTTCTACATTAGGTTGCACAGATAAGGGATTAGAAAATTAGAGTTTGTGAAGAGTAATCAGCTCCTTAACGTTGTTTGCTCGTTTGTGTGTATGGTTCCAATAAACATGAACACAGCTGAACCGATCGGGTCCAAATATATAATTATATATTTTCAGGATTAAACAGCTTAGGTGCTTATTTTGTGAACATTCTGTGGCTTCACTAAATTTCGGCACAATCGGTTCAGCCGTTTCAAAATTCGAGACAATGAATAATCCCTTGAAATGATTTGATTTTGTAGAAAAAGACTGAGGGTGGAGATGTGGATGTATGATCAGTTACAATCTCTCTACACTGAGGTAAAAACATAATTCCTACAAAATTATTCATAAAGTAAAGATGAATCATTTTCAAATATGAAAAGTACAGAAACATAAAATATGAATAAAAGTTATACCAGTCCTACATAGATCTAGAAAGCTATATACCGGTCCTACATAGATCTAGAAAGCTATATACCGGTCCTACATAGATCTAGAAAGCTATATACCGGTCCTACATAGATCTAGAAAGCTATATACCGGTCCTACATAGATCTAGAAAGCTATATACCGGTCCTACATAGATCTAGAAAGCTATATACCGGTCCTACATAGATCTAGAAAGCTATATACCGGTCCTACATAGATCTAGAAAGCTATATACCGGTCCTACATAGATCTAGAAAGCTATATACCGGTCCTACATAGATCTAGANGCCCAGGATTGATATTTCCATGATGATTCCCTTATAGTTGATTAATAATTTATAATTATTTTCAAATATTTTCTCTACAAGTTTTCAATTAATTCCTACAAAATATTTTCTTTCTCAATCCAGGGAGAGGGTTTATATCATCCTTTTTCCTTTATTAATTTAATCATGTTTTTCTTTATTTTTTTATCATTGAAGAATCATTTTTTTGTCTTTCAGATTTGATATGTAAATGAGAATCCCTGATTTATACCAGCTTAAAAGGACTGTAAGCTTAATTTCAAGTAATCCTTCATGCAATGGTGACAATGCCCGATTTACAGCGTGGGTATCCTTGAAAACTTTATCTGTTCAATAATGTGGAAGATATTGTCGTTTTTTTTAGCTTGAAAAGTGTTAAAATTTTGATCCTTTCTATACGTTTTCCTGCAGTAGAAATGCACAAGTCATTATTTTTGGAGAAACTACAGTTAAATATAACCAGATTTTAAGGTTAAAAACAGTACTATCAGTTCTTACTTGGCGAAACAAAGCTTTTTAGGGTTATACCAATTCTGAATCAGACATTTTCATTTTTGCATGAAAGGTCTCATGAATTTACACTTACAGTCCTTTAAATTATTCAAAATTTACTTTATTGTAACAAATGACTAACTTTTTGGCACTGTCTGATGACTTTATGTACCACTTGATGATTTTATATACCACTTGATGATTTTATGTACCACTTGATGATTTTATGTACCACTTGATGATTTTATTACCACTTGATGATTTTATGTACCACTTGATGATTTTATGTACCACTTGATGATTTTATGTACCACTTGATGATTTTATGTACCACTCGGATACACTTTTAGGCGCTAACCTTTTTATTCGTTGAAAATATGACGCCTTCATAAAAAATACTTTTTTATCATTTATAACGGGGTTTTTTATATTTATCATAATCTTGAAACTTTTATGTTTCTATTTTGTATCCTTCGTCTATAGATCAATCCTATTTAGATATAACGTACATTACTTGTTTGTCTCATCTTCTGTAATTGCGCACTTATATCTTTTTTATGCCTAAATCATTTTTATTGTTCTTTGATAATGATTATTAAATTAATTAATTAATTAAATTTAGAAATTTTAAATTAGATTGCCTGAGCACTTTTAGTGCTAAGGAATATATCGTGGTTTTCCTATCTTGATATGAAATCAATTCTGCCAGTTTCCCTGCTTGTCTGTGTTACATAATTCTACAAGTCTCTTTTAGTAATAAGGAATATATCGTGGTTTTCCTATCTTGATATGAAATCAATTCTGCCAGTTTCCCTGTTTGTCTGTGTTACATAATTCTACAAGTCTCTTTAAAGGAAAATCCGCCAAGTTTACAATTTTCAGAGAGAACAACAAGGATATGAGGGTTAATTGAAATTAATCCGACAGCCTTTATAGTTTTGAGTGTTTTGTTTTGTTTAGGAGGAGGGATTACATGATATTGAGATAGATCTCGATGAAGTTCTAGACATGGAAGATGATAAAATCAGGAAAACCTATCTCCAGGTATAAAGAGGGATGAAAAACTTTCCATGTTTTTGTTGTTACTTTTCTGATTATGATACGGTGGTAGGCCATGTTATGAATATAATGAAGACGACTTTTTTATAATAGTTTTATAAATCACAACTTATTTCGACACAAAGGCGTGTTCATTGTATTGGTATGGATGCTATATCGTTTAATTGTTAACAAGCTATTTTCGCATTTTGCAATCGAAAGTCGTCTTCATTATGTTGATATAATCGCCTACAATCGTATTTAATTCAATTTTAAAGCATTTTTATTCGTAAATTTTCAATTTTTTTAACTTCAACAAAGATTTAATTGATATGATGCCTTACTATTTTTATTTCCCTTGATGAAACATTGCTGAAAATCTAATTTTATAATTTTCACTGATTTATATGAGTCCATAGGTGTCAACAATTTTGACATAATGTATGTAAAATTATGAAAATATTATTGAATTTCTATTTTTCTTTTAAGGAGCTGCTAACAGATTCCACCAGACCAATTGATTTAGTCAATGTAAGTATTATTAATTTTAAATAAAACATAACAAATTGTTCAAGAATTATATTATTACTATTTTTTTTAAAAGCNCCAAGAACCTATTTAATGTGCCGCCTATCACTAAGCGGCCTAATTAGGCAAAGAAATTGAATTCTTGACTGCTTGCAAAAGATAACATTTCGATTTTGTTAATTACTTTAATGAGACAATCAATTAGTTTAAGTGAATTGTAAATATATCATTGTAACTTACGTTTGTGCAAAAAAATATTGTTTCATTTAAAGAATTGATAAAATATGTGAAATTACATTACTCTCACTTCAAAACTTAGAAGTGGTTTGAAATTTATTCTTATATCCAGGATTTTTATATATGGGGTATTCTTCGTCGGCGTCACATAAATCAATACAATGAAGACGACTTTCGATTTTTGATTTCTACCGAGGTATAAACAGTATTTATAGATACACATTAACATGGAATCAAAGAGAAGCTGTAAATTAATTGCTTTTTTGTTTCCTTGTAATAACTGAAATATAAAAGTTGTCTTCATTGTATTGATATAAACGCCGACTACTGTTTACTGTCATCTGGTTTTTAATGGAACACCATGTCTGTACAAAGCCTGCAAACAAAGAAAGATTCTTGATAATGATGTGTCACATGTATAATTATATAATCATGGATTATATATAATTATTTTTGGATTTATCATCTCTAGATTATGTCCGTCAAATGCTGGTCCCTTCCGTGTAATATATTAATTTGACATTGTACAGCATCTACATAATTTAAACGAATAAAATAAACGTTGATGTTAAACAATATTGAATCATTAAGAAAAAAATTCTTGGATCGTCTTTTTTCAAGTTATTCAAAGGAACTGAAAACTTGCCTCAAATTCTTTATTTATCATCTCTGCTTTTTTGTTTTCAACTCGCCAAAAAAGTTGAGACTTTCCACAAACTCTAACTTTTTAATCCCTATATCGTTGCAACCCAATGCCGTTGAATTTATATATTTTTAACAATACTATGATTTCTGTTAGATCAAATAATCTATATTTGAAATATCATATTGCAAAGATCTAAGGATTAGCAAATTTAAAATCTGAGTTTAGGACAAAAACTCGAAAAAGGTTAATACCATCAGGTGGCTAAATATATAGATTAATAGATAAGATCTAGAGGCCCCGCATAAAATTGTTTGAATGTTTTCTAATAAATATAATTCTTATTACAGAAGTTTGTGGATGATCTCCTGGAGAAAACAAAAACGCTGTAAACAGTAGCAGATATCAGGTCTGCTATTTGAGAATAGCAGACGTGCACAGCTGCTAATTACGGACGTAAGCTGCTTAAAGGCTGCCACCAATTTCCCACATTGAGGAAGAATCTGTTACTACATACCAACAGCAGCTAACAGCTATGATTATATAGTTCTATGTAACAGATAATAGCTGTTACAAACAACGGGGACCACAGTGCCATGACACAATGAAAACCGTGAACATTTTAGAGTTTACTCTGTGTAGAGATATTTTACATGAATTTTCTGCCTGAAATGAAAATTTATATTTCGCCTGAAATCCGCAAGTTTTGAAGAAAAAAACTTCGCACGAATCGCAGACGTTCTATAACCTGTCATTGCAACCTGTCTGCCCGATAAAAAACAAGATCGTAAAAAAATTTTGGAATATTCTGATTTTTTGGTGTGCATTTTAGCTTCAAGTCTGATTTTTATAGTTTACATTTTTCTAATTGAATGTGCTCTGAGCTGAAAACTTTAGAATGGGATATCCTTAATCCCGATCGGGTAACTAATCTGGAGATTAATTACAAGAGGAAAACAAGTGTTATTTAATCTCGAGATTAAGAAAAAGAGTGGATCAAGCATTAATCGCGATATCCACCATTCAAAAGTTCCCAGCTCAGGAAATTTTAGAATTTATTCAAACATTGTTCGTAGTTCTCGTAGTAATCCATTTTCATTCAATATTCATGAATTTCAGATTTAGAAAATTATTTTGTCATGAAATTTAAGTTACACAGAGGGAAGATCATTATTTGAAAAAACAGGAATTAGTAAAATAATTAAGTTTTAATGTTTGAAATTTTATAAATAGAAGTAATTGAAACATCATGATTTATTTAGCCGTGTCAAGCCATGATAATCTAAGCCAACAAATCATGAATTTTAAGGTCGGGCTCTCGAGGCTCTCTGGTTTCCAAGACAATCTTCGATCTCAAAACTGTCTTCTGAATTTTAAAATTTTTGGTGAAGGTTTCGGAAAATTTCGGTTTTAATAATGGATTCATTTTTTGGCACACAATTTTTCAAACCCATGGCGTAGATTAAAAAATATTTCTTTTTTTAACTTCTTTTAAACATTTGAAATATATTTCACACAAACTTGACAATGTACTGTGTATCCAGTGTACTACACACCGAAGGTTAAGAGTGTCACATGGGCTTACTAGGCGAGCAGCTCAGGCGGGTATATATCTAGTACCGGCTCGATAGTACAGTATATTATTTTGTACTGGCACAACATATTTCAAATGTCGTCCGCTATCTTCGAGTATGATAACTCAAATTTTGTTTCAATATTTTTTCCGTAGCAAAACAATTAGGCGCAACTTCTCTGGGGGGGGGGGATATAGATGATGGACAAATTAAAATAAATTAAGATTAACTATTTCGCCTTACATTATTT